TTGAATTTCAAACGCTCATAAAAATTTAATTTGACTTTCTGGTAGAAATTTTTTTATTGATAAAGGTAGACAATCTTATGAGTAATCTTTTATTAGATTTTCAAATCTTAGATTTAAAAAGAAAAATTTTTACGAATTCTTAACTCAAAATAATTTGCTAATTTTCGTGATTTTTCCATATTTTGTCAATTTTTGAACTTTAAATGCTTATAAAAAAAAATTGTGACTAAGGATTTTTAATATTTTTCATCTGCCTTTGAAACAACATATTAGGAGCCTTCTATTAAATTTTCAAGCTTTCGCAAAAAACAAATAACATTTTATTGATATTTTTAGAAAAAAAATGGAAAATGAAAATGTCCCTAAACAGTTCAAAATAAATCAAAATATTTTGAAAATGTTATCGTGTATAGAAAATGCAAATATAAACAACCAGTGAAAATTTCATGTATATACGTTCATTTGTTTTAGAGTTACACCAATAACCAAAATCGATTTTTTGGAAAATCAATTTTGCGTAAAAATTCCCGTTTTTCCTTAATTTTTATGTTGTTTTTCCCGGCGCTTGTGAAAACTACTGGGAAATTTAAATTTTGACCTCCCCAATGCACCAACGATATTCACTTTCCAATCGAACAAGATACTGAAGTCGAAAATCGAAGCATTAATTCGACTACTTATCGTGTACACAGATACAAAAAAAATAAAAAAATAAAAAAATATTTAGCTATAAAAGTTGAACATTTAATACATTTTTAACTACAAAATAATTATTAAATTTTAAATTTGATAAATGTTGTCAAAATTCGATCTTTAAATGCTTATAAAAAAAATTGTGCCTATGTATTTTTAATATTTTTCAATTGCTATTGTAACAGTATATCAGGAGCATTGTATTAAATTTTTACACTTTTTGGCCCAACAGATAAAACTTTATTGATATTTATAGAATAAAAAACTAAAAAAGTTGAAAACTAAAAATGTCCGTAAACAGCTCAAAAAGAGTCAAAATATTTCCAAAATTGTAAGGTGTTACATCTTACATCGTTTCAGTGTTTCACTCAGAATCTAAAAAAAATAAATATATTATTATTTCATCAAAAGCATCGATTTGTGCATGCGTGTGCGAACCGCTAGGTAGTTGTTTCCCGGGAATTATAATGAATAACCCACCGTTGTTGCATATGCGGGTAGTAGTGGTGGCGTGCTGGACACTCACACAAATGTTTGTTTACTACCCACAGAACAGCACTACTACTAATTCTCTATCGTTTACTCCTCAGGAACAGAGCACTTCCAGCTCCATTAACCAAAAACAATGCCCAAAGAAAAATTTTAACGAATTCTTAACTCAAATACTCAAATTAATTTGCTAATTTTCGTGATTTTTCCATATTTTGTCAATTTTTGAACTTTAAATGCTTATGAAAAAAATCTGTGACTAAGGATTTTTAATATTTTTCAAATGTCATTGTAACAATATAGTAGGAGACTTATATTAAATTTTCAAGCTTTTTTATCCAACAAATAAAGTTTTATTGACATTCATAAAAAAAAAGACTAATAAAATTGGAAATGTTCCTAAACAGTTCAAAATAAATCAAAATATTTTGAAAATGTTATCGGGTATATGCTAATATAAACGATCATTGAAAATGTCATGTATACGTTGATTTGTTTTAGAGTTACACCAAAAACCGAAATCGATTTTGTGTAAATTCGATTTTGCTTAAAAATTCTCGTTTTTCCTTAATTGTTATGTTGTTTTTATGCGCTTTTGAAAACTATTGGTACTTATAAATACTAATAATTTAGTCTGGTACCTCTATACCTACCTATATTATACTAGGTATAATATAGATAGGTAGGTTACTTAGGTACTGCCTATTGTTCTAATCAATCAGACATTTTGTAAGTATATTAAAATTGTGAGCAGACGTTCAGTACAATAGGTATTAATTAATTAGTGTAACTATAGGTACCTATTTAAAAGTTAAAATGTAGAATTAAGTATAATTTTATTATAATGCATTATAAGGTACATTGCAATTTGCAGCTAGCAGTAACTTGTCCCAAATACTAGGAGAACATGAAGTCCGGTGAATTATTACTCGGGCCGCAACTCACATTCGCCTATAAGGTTATCGGGCCGGAATTCGACGATGGCCAGCAACTCATCCACAGCCTTAAGAAAAACGATTATGAGAATCAAAGCGAAGATGCTCTGTCACCCTATATTACCAAGTATTTTATGATATGTACGACTGTAAGAGTATTTATAATGCTATTAAAGTAATTAATTTTATTAGTACTTTTATTACCTACCTAATATACGGTTTGTATTATACGATAGGTAGGTTGAATTATTTTTTTCCGGTAATATTGAATTTGACAATGCAATTGTGTGATCCTTATATGCTATATATATACCTATAAAATATAATACATAATAATATACCTAGCTATGTTAAAAATTATAAGTTTCAAGTTTCCACGAATAATATTTTTGATTTACAACAAAATAACTAAAATCATTATTCATCGTTTAAATAGAGGTAGGTTTCTAATTTTGTCCAAATTTGAATTTCAGATGTTTGTAAAGAAAAATGAAGTGATGTGGTGTGAAAGTAAATGAAGGGTACAAAGTACAGTGCAACAACCAGGTAAGATCACTTTTCAGAATTGTTCAGGGCGACTATTTAAAAACCTATACTAACGTCTAAGGTCTAACATAGGTATACTATTATTTATTAGATGTTGATGAATTTTGTCAACATTTAAACATTATAATTTATAACACTATTCTGAATAAAAAAAACTGACACCTAACCTAGCTTTTTTTTAAACACTAATTTTGCAGTTATTATGGTTTTTTATTTGTAAATTGTAATGTAATAATATGTACCCATAACTAATTAGCCCTATCCAAAAAAAAATACGGCCTCTAACCCACTGCTACTTACTATTATAATATTATATTGCAGAGCCATTTCCTCGGTTTGTTTTTCAGTATAAATGTTATTGGAATTCAGAACTATATGGTTTGATTACCTTTACTTGTATATTTACTATTAACATTATGAAAGTAGAAAGGGTACTCGACGGATAGGGTTGGTTAAAGGGTAGTCCATTATTGACACTATTATTCAAAATTACGTATACTGGCTAGACTATAGTTTGTAGGTTATTTTATCTACCTTCTATAAATTAAGGCTTAATAGATTGAAAGTTAAACTATCTATTTATAATTTTTTCTAAGTTGCATGTTGCACTTTTAGATAAAAAATTGAACACTATAATGTGTTATTTTTAAAGTTATTTGCAGCTTGCAAGTATTGAAAGACATGTTCAGGATCCAGTGGGGATCTCAGGATTCTTTGTTTGTGGGGGGGGGGTTATATTTATATACAAATTAATTGAAAAGTGAGCCATGGAGGAAAGAGGAAATTAAGCTCTAAAAATAAAGCCATGGGAGGATCTATCCCCTCTACCACCCCTTCTCCACCATAACCACCCTTCAGAAGAACAAACATTTCAGGATCTACTAACATAGGAAATATTGGTAGGTATTGAGATTTTTTCCATATAGTTACATATTTATAAATTATCATACATATTAATTTATTTTTTATATGTATAAATAGGTACACAATCATTATAATATTATGCGTATATTTTACATGTTTTATTATTTATGGCAATATATATCATTAAATAAAAATAAATAATTAATTGTAATACTCATACAATTTAAGATAAAACTATAGTTATAATTAAAACTAGTTGTCGTATAACAGTATTTTATAATACCTATATGTACTAACAGATTTTAAATGTTAAATACATTTTTTGTATTTCATAATATAAAAAACATATTTTCTTAAACTAGGTGTATAAATACAAATATCATTAATTTAAACTTATTTAAAGCTAATTTCTTTCTTATAATATATTAACTGGCTCTACAATTTTATTCTATCTTGGCGAGGCCATTTTTAATTTTATAATACTTTTTTGCTTTTATAGAATAATTATTCATTTATATTTTACATTTTTACCATAGTATTATGTATCAGTATTCAGTATTAAACAATTATAAAATTCTGATTAAATATGAACTTTTATAAAATATTAGAAAATGAAAAATGTTGTAGTCTTATTTTTAATCAATATAGAACATAATTGTAATGTATATAAATAAATTACATAATTAGGTAATTCTTTAAATGATATGTCCATATTGCTTTAATGGTAAATAAAGTTTAACCCCACAAAAAAAAACTCCTGAGAATTATTACTTGAACATTATTTTATGTTTTATATAATAAATTTGTCTTGTTGGATTTATCGTAAAAATAAAATAAATAATGATTGTACTTTGTGTAACAGTATTTATTTTACATTATCGTTAAATTAAGCCTTACAAAAATATATCATAATGCGAGACCATTATTTAAAAATACCCACTATTCTAGATGTATTTTGTTATACAATGATCTACAAAATTATAAAATATTGCTGTAATTATTATTGAATACAAATGAAGTGTATCATTTACTTATAAAAGTGAAAACTATTGTTCTGTAATGATACAATCGTTTTTAGAATATTTTTCAATGATAGTTATTCAAACTAAATAACTCACAAGAATTAAAATATAGGCATTTAAAATTGTTAGTATAAAAATAAATGGTAAAATAATAAAATAATAAAATTATAGGTAAGAAAAAAATCTTAGTACATAATTTTTACGAAAAATAATAGTAAAATACTAAAATACAAAAAAACGTTTCATTAAATAGAAGTAAAACACACAAAACATGTAAGACTAATAAACTGTTGAGATCTATCACATAAATATAGTTATACAATTTTTGTTTTATGTATGAATATATATACATATTGATTAATATATAGTGTAATTATCCATTTTCATGGATCATAATAATTTAACAAAACTCTGTTGATAGTTGAAGTTGGTTTTAAATACATTAGAAGAATCAGAATAGAGCTAGAGTAGCGAGTTTGCAACACAATAATATGAACATTTTGGAAACGGCAAAACCAAATGATGCAGCGCTATTTTTTTCAATAGTTGGCGTATTCAAAGCCGCAAAGCCGCCCACGTTATACCACACAGGTCTCCCCGACAACTCTTGCACAGGCCTAGAATTGTGTGTTAGTTGTCCATGTTTTGAACGCAACATACGAAAAGCTTGAACCTACAAAACAACATAAATTAATTAAAAATGTGATATGATACCTTATGGCTTATGGTATAATGTTAACAACGTGTGGATGTATGTATAGTAGTTCAAAGTGAATGAAAACCGATTTCTAACAATATTTTATACTTAGATAGAATATAACTACCGATTATAAATTATAATATACTTTTATAAGGTAATTCATAGTTATTAATGTTTAATTATATTTGTACTAAGTACCTATACTTATCAAATGCAATTTTAATTATAATTTGTATTTATCTAGATTCTTTATTTCTTAAAATTATTAAAGAAATTATTAGATTATTAATACTTAGATTATTACCAAAATGTTGAATAATTATAACTGCCGTCATATACTATTGATTTAACTTAGACTCTTTCTAAATAAATAAAAAATCTTTAAAGTGCATTAAAATTATGTTCAGTACAATAAATAAAATGTATATCATTTTTGTAATTATACTATTAGTAACTGTAGTAATAGTAAACTATTCAAAATATTTAGTCCAGATAATAGGTATTTTGAGTTGGACATGCCTGATTTACCGACTAAATACTAATCGAGAGCTGAGAATATTAATTTAGTAATAATAGGTATATATAGTACTTGGTTATGAGATAGTTGAATCGGATGTTTAAAATCTATCCATGTAACGACTTCCAAGCAAGGCGGTGTAGTTAAAGAACCCTTGTATGTGAAATAGAGTTCGGTTGATTCGGGTAACATGGATCTAATTGTGAATCCAACTTGTAAATTTGATGTTTGTTCAGGCATATTTATTTGACCTAAGGTGTTGACGATTTCTGAGTATACAGGATTGTCTTCTTGGGTTATTTCAAAGAACATGGCTAAAACAACCAATCCATCATTTTTTGTTAAGGCTACTTTATCATCATCGTAATCTGTGTTTGAAAATACCATATGCAATTCCATCGGATAACTATATAAAAACCACAAAATAATAAACATTTTGAAATTGTATTAAATACTAAATAGTTTGATATTTGAATTATTAGTATAATAATAATATATTATATTATATTAAACATTCATGCACCAATTAGTGGTACATCAATTATAAGTACCGTTAGAACTATATACATAAAAAATATATATCCTGTTTTATATAATTTAATAGTAGATCAATATTATACAGTCGTATCAGTATGCAAAAACATATTGATAACATATTCAGTGTTTGATTTTATTTAAATGTACTACTAGTGACTACATACATACCTATGGTTGTTAATGAGGTCTTCACTGCCCAACGAATCATTAACACCCCAATGGAAATGTAGTTGAGTAAATCTGTAGGTTGGAGTCAGTGGTCCTCCACTAATCATTACTGGTGCAGTATAATTCAATTGTAATACCACTGTAAATATACATTTAAAATAAATATTGTTGTATACCAACTACATTTTAACTTTTATATAAATTATTAACTAGGTACAGGTAAAATGGTATGTCCCTATATTCTGCCGTAAAAAAACTATTATTATAATTTCAAAAATGTTCCATTGTTAATATTATTTGAATGATGAGTAGGTATTATTATTTAGTTGAACACCTATGAAACTATAAATTAATTAATACAATAAAAGTATAGAAGTATTGAGTTACAGGCTACATTTTAAAGTTTCTCCAGTATACCTACATCTTGGAAAATATATTTGAATAAAATTATAATTGTTATGTCATTTTTGTATCATTTCTTAATAAGTATACCTAGTCAATAATCAATTGTCAATAGCACTTTTTATGTAAGGTAAAAAAAATCTGGGTCTAATTATAATCTAATTTAAACCGCCCAAATAAAAATAATAGAATTTTTACAAATCTTTGATTCTCCCTAACAATATGTGTTTGTATGCTCTGTTGAATTGTAAAATATCATCTATGGTAAAAATATTGTACACATCATGATAAATAAATCATGGTACACATAAAAAGAGGTTTAAATCTATGGTATGTTGGAGTAGCCATTATTTTATAAAAGTTTTAAACAAGGATCAATGATTTAACTATTTTTATTATAATAATTTAACCGTAAATTTAATATCGTTCAGTATTTATTCTTAAATTTTATTTTAAGAGGAGTTTGAAGTTGTCTTAGTATTTAATTAAATATAATTGTTTAAAAAAAAAAAATAATGGCCACACCAAGAGATATTGATGACACTTGGGTAGAAGAAATATTCGCTAAATCTGAATATGTATGTTAAATTAATTTAAATCAATGATTTTAATGAAGACTAACATATTATTACAATTTATAGTATATTAATTACTATATAAAGGAATTATATGCATGTGAATGTTAGTACGTAGTGTACTAGTGTTTGTACGTATATGGGAGTTTTAAATGTCGACATAATATTATATCACATTGAATTAAAATACCAAATTTTATTATGCACATTTTACATATTTGGAGGATTGTTGCATATTATTTCATAATCCTATACAACATGCATATTTAATGTATACTTATTTAATAAATTTAAAACTCAATTTATGATAAATCAATTTTACTGGAGTAAAAATTGTTGACATTGTTTCTCACTTTCTCAGAGGTATTTTGTTGAAATATTGTCATGTATGCCTCACTATATGACCGAAAAAAGAGTTCTGAGTTTTAAATGATCTGCAATATTCACAGTGGATTTTAGTTTTTTTTTAATTTTGATTTTCTTCTAGAAAATCTATAATATTTCATTTTTAGATTCTGAGCTGAGCGAGGGATCTAGTGGTTTTACAATGGTGCTTATTTTTTTTTTTTTTTATCCTGTATACAAAGTTTCTATCAGAAGGAGTGGTTCGATTTCAACATATAGTACCTACCTTATATTTTAGCAAATTAGATCAAGATGGTAATTTTTTGATTTTCTCATTAGTTATTTAATGCCACGTGAAAAACTACCGACAAATTACAAAAAATCGCTAAAAATGGGATTTTAATTTCTAACACTTTGTTTATCACCATAGCAACGAATAAAAAATAATAATATTATAATATTAGTACTTACTTACAGGCTATAATAAATAATAACAATATAAAAATTCCTAACTAACAAACGGTCTCCGCTCAGAATCGTTTTTCTTATACAATGATATTATATCATTGAATTCAAGTTTAATACAATGCACTATACATTGACCCACTTGTAACATACTGTACATCAGAGTGTCATCCATTTACCCACTTTTTTATATTTAAATCTGTTAAAAATGTACTTAATTTTAATTATTTTAATTACCTATCTGAGTATTTCTTTGTTTCTTATAAAATTTGTAATAGCTTAGTACCCTTTTTAGTGTCAAAAAGGGTGGTTTTTTTTTAAATTATTTTTTAGTTAAAATAATAATATAATGCTTTTAATTGCATATATTATCATTTTTGTACACATATTTGTTTCATATTCTGATTCAACAATTTTTAAATGCATAGAATTTTGTGCTTTAAGTACCTACCAATAACATTATACTAGGTATTAATTGATGTTTGTTTTTGAAATTTTCAGATAATATATCAGAAGATGCAGAATATTATTGAAAAAATGAAGTGTGTATTAGAGTTAAAATCAAAAATTAGTACTTCTGAAGAACAAGCAAGCAAGTTACAAGAATATGTAAAAATGTTAAAAGATATGATCTATAAATCAAGCAACTTCCCCACATTGATTTCAAATGTTAATAGTGAGTCGAATACAATTTAAGTAATATAATATGATTTATAAATTAAGTATAAATGTTTAATATGTATTTTAATATTAATATAATGAAAACGTTTATTGTTTATATGCCCAATTTTATTAAATGAAAATTAGTTCTTTATATGGATCAGGGATCTTAACTTTAGGTACACCTACAGTAAAAACTTAAACATTTCAAATCTCTAAGATCACTATTCTTTAAATAACAATAAGACAAGTTTTATTTTATTATAACAATATTATAATACCTAGAAGTATTTCTTTTTCATAATTATTTTTATCATTAACGTTTTATAAATTGAATAGGTGCTATTGATGAAGTGGAGAAATCATTATTAAATATTAAAAAGGTAATTTGGTTAATTTATCATAGAAAAGGGTACATCCTTTTTTTTTTTTGATACTTATATAAATAGTAAAAATGTAATGTTTTAAATTTTAATGACTAAATTAGAAAATTGATTTAATTTTAATTTTATTTAAAAAAAAGGCTATTGCTGTATTGGAATCGGAAAAAAAAATTGAAATAAAATCAACTGCAGGAAATGCAAAATTAGGTGAGTATAATATTCTTATCACGAGAAAATAAATAAAAAAGTGGATTATATTATTATAAATATTTAATTTTTTTTGTCATTGGTTAACCTAACCAACTTGGTTTTACCTAACCTACAGTTAAAAATACCAACCAAAATGTCTTTTTTTTTAATAATTTCTATATTATTATAATAGAGAGTAATAATTATGTTTCACTTAAAATTATTAATAACATTATATTTTTTCTAGTATTGAATATGAAAAAAGTATTATCAGAATTATATAATAAAAATTTTGAGTTACTGATACAAAAAGAAAATAGATTGCTTGAATTGAAGAATCAAATAAAAGAATTTAATGCCACAAATAATAAATCTAAGGTAAAAATATAGTTGTCGCTCCTCTCAGAATTTAATAACAATACATATACATAATATGAATATAATATATTAGATAGGTAGAGATACATAACCAGGGGTTAAAGTGGGAAAAAATTCCAGAGGGGACTGATGTCTCCATATAGTTTTAAGAGTTCCATATATAATTTTATGTATAATGTCTAATGCATAAATTCCTAATTTGTTAAAGGGGGCGCTTTTTAATAAGAGGTAGGGGGACTCCTGCGCCCCCCACTTTAACCCCTGTACCTAACCTATATAAATAGTTACATTTCAACACAAATTTTATTTTCATTAGGAGAAACAGGAACTAGATTGTTATATAAAAGAATATGATTTGCTGAAAGCCAAAAATATGCATCTTAAAGAAATGATTTCTTTCAACATTGAAAATTAAATTTAAAATGCTCGTCACATAATTCAGAAGATAATACATGGCAAATATATAATTATTTTTGATATCTATATTTTTACTACCAATATGTCATGTGTAAATCAATTTATCTATTTTAATTAAGTATAAATATATTATATTTGTTTTAAGCATCATTATCAATTGTATATGCGTGATTTATTTTGAGATTCTTGTTGGAAAATGGAATTTGTGGACTGAAAAAATTACATACTAAGCATTAGCCAGTAAGCAACCATGTAGTGGGTAATTGTTGGTCTAAACTTTGTACCTTATAGAGTTTAGATACAGTCATTGATGATACAAATTACAAGATAACATTTATGATTATCTGAGAGATTCAAAATAAACTCTATACTATAGTGCAGGGGCCATCAATTAATAATTTTGGAAAGCCAGATTAGGAAACTTGAAATGTTGATGGGCCATAAAAATTGCAGACTTCGTTAAAAATCAATGAACAAAAGTTATGAATTACAATTTACAACACTATAATTTAGTATACATGTATAATATTAATGGCTTTTTTTTCTTGTCTGCGGACCGGATAAAATGTGTACGTGGGCCGCCATTTGATGACCCCTGTAATAGTGCGTACCTACCTACTATAATCATTTTTTTTTATGGTATAATATTTGTATTTTTACATTTAGTTAAGAGTTCTATAACCTACATACAAATTTATTTTTGTATATTATGTAGTGCAGGTAGTAGGTAACTATTGTGGAGATAAAATGTAATATTTTAATTAATATTTGTTCTATGTATAATGTATATATGTATTATGTATAATATATAGGTATGGATAATAACTAATTAGGTGAATGCTACCTAATAAGGTAGATAATATTGATATTAGATTCAAGTGTGAAAATTATATAAATTATCTAGAGGACCAATGCAGAGGACATAGGTACATAATACACATAGGAAGTGCACTGCATGCCATGATACTTTTATATGTTTACTATTCTAGTCCAGTGCAAATGTGGTCAAAATACAATAAATTATTGTTACCATTAAACAGTAGTTTAACAGTTCAGAGTAGGAAAGTAAAGAGAACAAATTAAAATAATAGGCAATGATAGTATATTTATGGGATTATTTTAAGATTAGCCACATAAGATAATTCCATTTTTATTTATGACATTAACTTTGAAATATTTAATGCAGTGATTAATTTGTTTATTAAGTTTTATATTTACTCTATCATTAAGTATACAAGAATCATTGAAACACTTATATTAATCATTATAATACAATTATAAGTTATATTGTAGGTACATAATTTACAAAAAGAGTAGGTATATTATTTATTCCTTGACATATAGTACCTATACAATATATACTCCCTGTAGGCTGTAACATGTTACCTTGACTTCCTATATTATAATAAATACATGTACCTAATAGGTACCAGTAATACCAATAATAATATTATATATATATTTATAATTATGACCTACTACTGTTTAATATTTAGGTAGGTATATCCTTTACACTAAGTTAGTAAATTAGGATTAAAACCACCTGATAAAAATATACTTAAATAATAATAAATAAATTATCCAACAGCTGATTATTAGCTATGATATGCTTGTATTAAAAGTATGTATTTTGATTGACAATCAATTTTAAGTAGGAAATTATTATACTTTGGATTTTTATTCTATTGTACATCAGTATACTACTAATGAATTACCATTGCCCATTAGTTATTTTACCTATTGTAACATATTATAATAACTGTATTTCCATTTCTTATTTGTAAATTCTGTTTTCTATTTTAAAATATCTGTATATATGCGTGTCCCACAACTGAAATCATTCTTAATGTTGGTTGGGAAATTTGAATAGAGTCTTGTATGCTTCAAGAATAGTAGCAATGCAGGGTCTTTACTATTTATCTTCTTATCCAAGTCGTTCTCAGAGTGTGTTCATTGAAATTCGAACATCACAAGTGACTAAAATTAATGACTATAATCTCTGTTGGTGAGATACAGTTAATAGAGAATATCCTATTCATAGTCTGTTAATGATAATTCCTTAGTTTCATTGTATAATCGTATGTATTTACTATTTTTGACAATATGGTATAATAATCCAACTAGGCTTTTAATAAATTTGACTAAAATCGAGTATATTATAGGTATCTAGGTAGTTTATATGTAAAATATGATATTTTACATAGGTAGACATGTAGCCGCTATGCATGTAATAGGTTTCTATTATTTTTTTCTGCTTTAGTTTATTTCCATTTCATGTTTTTCATAGGTAACCTATTATAATATGGCCAAGGTTCTATATAGGTAGCTGTAATTATTTTGTTTGTGTTTTAATTTTTTCTATGGTTTTATAAAATACTATTTCAAGTTAGAATATGTTTCAAATGTATTTTAAATGCATTTAGCAAAGCATAGTATGCTGTGAAATACTGAAATGTATATTTCTCTACCAATTGCTACTATTCTCTACTAATTCTCTACTAATTGGTAAGCAATTAATAAATTAACTGACTCACATGTTGTATAATATAATTTGTGTATTGTTTAACATATTGATTTAGGTATATTAAATTACTATAATAGACATTACTAGCAACTGATAATTGTTACTAACCTCTACTGGCTCTACGGCTCTACCTATTGTAATATCATAAGTTAAGTTATTTTCTTAATAAAGCGCATTAGTATTGTATGTGATAGATACATACATTTATGACAATTTTTTTTAGAAAAATGTACATATTGTTTTGTTATGGAAATTATCATGGCCTTATCTTCTTTATGACATAAATATGTCATATTTGGAAAAACTGCAGCTTTAAACACGTATATTATGTATTATTCAAGCCAACAGTTTAGAAAAGGGTAGAATGTTTTCACTATCTATTAAATATTGTAGAACTTGAGTAACTTAGTATAATATTATTTAAATGTAGGTATTGTATTGTTCTGATATGCCAACTATAAGTGTTATAGTGTCATATACAGATGTAATAGTATTTCATTGTTTATACTTTGACTATTGTTGAATAATTTGATATTTTATAATTATTTTGTCTTTTAAAAATAAATAAATAGGTAGATAATAAATAAATCAACGTTACCTGTATGTCCATTATTTGTTATGGTTGTTGATGTGGGAAGTGTGTCAATATTGTGAAAACGCAAAAGTGGTAGATTTACTTTCGTCACAAGATTCTCCTCGATGTCGATTGGCGATTGATATTTTCCTGAACATGTTTTATACTCGTTTGCCCAATGCGAAGGATCTAAAATAAATATGTTTAATAATTATGTAATTTAGACTAACACGGCTGCTAAAAAATTTCATTTATTTTTGTTATTTAAAGCTTTTAATAAAAACATTGAAATTATCAAACTTAAAATTTTTTTAATATTTCACAATATTATATGAAAATGTCTAGATGATATCATTAGGTATGTTTAATTTAACTTGGTATGTATTTTCCACCACTCGATAAGTTATATTATAATCTGTATCTACCACTACTAACATATATATTAAATATTGTCTTTCCACGTATGATCATTTTTGTTACGGTATTCTTCAAAAATATTTTACTATTTGCTATTAGAGTTGATTATATTTTACATGTTTTATATGGTTATCATTATATTAAAAAGAAATTGAGAAATGCGTTTTAACCTACCTAAGTACCTAGGTACCTACTTAAAAATTGTTGACTTTACCAATTACCTATTTATTATTTGATAATACAGACACCTAATGCAATAATTGTATGAGTTTTAGATACAAATTTTGTGGATACATCAATGCTTCCAATAATACACTATTTTATGTTGAAATTAAATTTATCTATATTTAAAAATCAAATGTAAATACAATAAATAATATTTAAGTTAAAATAATATTAAATTATGGTATTTTAATTATTTTATACTTTATTTACCTATTCTATTGGTATTACATGTTATACCTAATTATTTTATGAAACTAGTTTAATATTTAGGGTACATTAAGTATACCTACAGGCTAAAAATATGATTCTCTCTTGCCATGGTCAACTTGTAAACTTAATTATAACTATTATTTTGTGTATTCGTGCATATCAAATTGTGGTCATTGATACATTACAAAGTGTGTACATACTTATGAATATGTCGGTGTTACCAAAATTAGTGGTTGTAAGGTCCAAAAAATCTATAGTACATTAAATTTTAATAATGATCAACCTTTAAAACATTCGTGGGATGTTATAAACTAAATAGGTATAAAATATTTAAAAACAATAAACTACCTACGTACCTACCATAAAATTACCTATTAATAATATTTCTTAAAAACACTTCTTTTTAAGTGGATGTAAATGTGATTCAAAATCTGCACACTATTTACATATGTACCTATATCATACATATAGTTACCAACATTTTTATGGGATATAAAGTTTTCAAAACTATTATAAGTTTTTAAATGTATAAAACTTTATTTTTAAAGTATGACATGAAACAAGTCATGGAACTTTATGCAAAACTTTCAAAATGATTGGAATTTTTCTGCGCAAAACGGTTACAAGCAGGGGCCAAAATAAAGCTCCTAAAATAATCAAAATAAGTGCTTAAAAACTTATAAGAACGAAAATAAGCAAAAAATGGTATCCCCCACCCTCGAACAACAACAGTTATAAAAATAGGGTCTCCATTAAAAAACGTCCATATTCTTCACTTCTTCCTCTTATGACTTATACTATAGAATAACATATTACAAAAATAAGCACTTTAAAATTTCATATTTTAAATCGTTGTAATTTGATATAAGTTTCGATAGCACTGGGCTACATTTTGTCAAACTAAAAAAAAAATTGCAAGTCTGCAGGTTATAAATTGTTATTATGAATGCATCTTTAGACATTATAACGAGGTACCAGGTACGGTATACTTTATACCTACCGTATTGTGTAATGCGTATATTTGTATAATGTTTTATTAAAACATATCAATATATAATACTTAAACGTGACATATCAGCTTCTGTCACCGTACCTCTGTCGACTGTCGTCTAATACATTTTAAGTTCAAATTACGATGTAACGTATACAGCACCTATATATTTTAGATTCTGATCTATACAGTAGCAAGGAATGTATCAGTTTTACAAATATCTGCTCATATTTTCTATGTCATCGATTTATATGTACCAATGCAACACTTATTTTTGTTTAGACTATTAGAGGCAGTATAGTTTATTGTGCATAAAAACCTTTTGATAATAAGCCGTATTTAGGAAATAGGTAGGCCTAGTATGTTCCTTTTGAGTTTGATTAGGTAGGTACCTATTACTAAGATTGAAAAAAACTCAAAAACATTAAAATACGACCCACTCATATTTTTGGAAACGACGAAGAATTAATAACTTGACTTATTGATTGTTTATAATTCTTATATTAGTTATATATTTAATAATATTATAGGTACTGATGCACTGTTGTTTTTATAGAGGCCTAAAATCTAAATAGGTACCTACGACCTACCTAAAGATTTGTATACCTACCTAATCGAACATATTTTTTTGTTAATTTGTAACTCGATTATGTTAGGTTGATATTTTATGTTCTAATGCGTGTAATAAATAAATAATAACTCATGTGTTTGATTGAATTAGGAATCCATTTCACATTTCTTAAATAAAATATCTTAAAAATAAACAAATATAATCTTTAAGACGGCATGGATATTATGTATGAATTTAAATTTGATAGGTATATTATATACTTATTACTTTTAACTTATAAACGTAAAATTAACGCAAACCGTAATCGAGAAAACTTGCGACATTTGGTTGACAGTATGGAATTCCACCAGGGCTCATTTATGAGGCACCTACATAATTAAAGTGATACATAATCCGTGTGGTATTTATTCTAAGCATTTTTATTCCACAAATTACGTAAGAACATGTACGATGTACATGCTATATTGCTTTAAAACGAACTAACTACGATGTATTTCACGTTTTGCGTTTTAATTAATACTTAGTTGAGCTAACGACTTTCATCTTGCCATTAATCAGATTGATTTTATAAATAATATTATACAGGTATAGGTAGGTAGTAGGTACCTACTATTCGACTCTGCACTTGTGAACTATTTTTTCGTATAAACAATGCTGTAATCGATAATATTATAAAATAGTTCATCCGGATTTTATTAGTTTATAATTGCACTTATGTAATATATTATATTATAAAAGACTAGGTCATCAGTTAAAAAGTTTTACCTTGACCTTAGAATTTTAAAGCTCAGAAATCTAACCAAACGCGATAATTGTTATTAATTACGTTATGAATTATTATCCTTACCAAGCTCTCCAGAGTCGTAACCAAATGATTGTTCGTTTTCTCCGTGACTTGGTGATCCACATGCTAGACCTGTAATAATAACATTCGCTATAAATCTTTATAATATATATATATAATATTTCCTTTTATAACGTATTTGTGTAACGATTTTTACTGACAAATCTACATTGACGTAAAATGCCAGTAGTATTTAGATAACTATAATAATATATATATAATATATTCATATATGCAGATATATATAAGTATATAACAATATATAACATGTATTTTCATGTAGGCACACATATTTTAGAGTAAAATATTTATCCACTTTCAGGATTTATTTCAATATTTTAAGTTATAAAAACATAAATAATCTAGTACTTAGGTTTTTTAATGGTTTTAATGATATAGGTAGGCCTATCGTAGAGCCTGCTATAGAGATTATATTACCTACCTATGTGTATAGGTATGTTATCTATATATACAAGTGCATTATATTAAAAATTGAAATATACTTATTTACTTACAAATAATTTGCGTACGACATGACCTACCTTTATATTTTTTCAATACGACTTTCACATTATAAACTTGTATATATTAATAAAACCATTATAATATTTCATAGTGTTCGTTCAACAATTTGACATAATATTATCCTATAATTTCAAGACTCGTGTTAAAATGTAATTAAAAGTATCTATCTCAATATTAAATACTTTCAAAAATATATTTTAATTATTATATACTTTGTAGGTACCTATAACACATATAAACGTGTTTGATTATCGTAAGTGAAAATTACTCGATCATCAACACTTTCAAAAAATATTTACAATGTGATTTTTGATATACCTAGGCGCTGCTTACGTTTGAAAGTTGGTAGTAACTAACTAAATTCGCACACAACACTCCTTTATAATTGTAACTGCAGTATAGGAAGGTAGACGTAGATATATATAATGATTTAGCGCACGAGAGTGTTGAATTGTCCATATTTAAATTTTAAATTGTATTGAGCCAATTTAATAATTTACTATGGTAATGTTTATTAGTGGCGTCCGATTATAATACGATATGTTGACAAGTGGTCGTAGACCGTAGTGAATATTATTAAATTATATATATATATATATCAATATCATTTCATAGTAATTGTTGGCGTTGTGCTCGTTAATAAATTATATTTGTAAAATATTTATTGCATATTATCATATAGACATTAGACGCCGCGCAGAGTAAAAAAAAAACGCGATAAAAAGATTGTAGTCTGAGCGAGTAATTTTGATTTTCCAAAATGACCCTGTGTCGCTTTGTAAATGACATAGCTATATAGCTGTTATTGTATTTATTGATCGATCGCAATATTTGCGTATAATACACATGCACGTACGATGGGCAAACATCGCGGGGTTGAATTTGAATGAAAAAACGTGTAAAGTCATGTACAACGAGTTAGTGGGACAATGAGGTTAGCCAAGGCCCAAGGGCAGCACTATGTCGCAATCTTAGATCGAGAAAACAACAATGATTGATAGTTAAAGGATAGGTACTTAGACACTTACTACATATAATGGCGTATAATGTATTAATTTTACGGAGACAAACTCTTGCGACGTTGTTAGTGTGTACACGTGCGTTTTTACGACCTGCATAAAATCTATGACATTGCCATAGATATTGTTACTGTGCAGGAAGTTGTCAGGATAATCACTAATCAGTAAGAGTTATTATTTCATGGGGATTTTTATAATATTTCTAACATTTGATCATAAATTTGAGAAAAATGCTAAAATTGCGATTTACGATTGGGCGAAATTCCGGTGTGTGATTTGATTTGACATACTCTATCCTCACTAAAAGAAATATACTATTTGGACGTTATAGACTTATTGTTGATCTTATAGTCTGATATACAATTACATTAGGCATGATGACTGAATACATATAACATCAATACAAATTATTACCTGTAACTAGAATATCATCGTTGAAGTTAAGTTTAAAAAAAATATTATATTATTATATATTATAATTATATTTAATTAAAATACTATATTATTTATTATTAATTTTTTTACTATATTAAATAAATAAATATTAATTATATAAACCAGGTATTTCCTGATACAAATTATAAACACCGATGGTTTGCAAAAAATATTAGTACATTTTAGAACATTGAAATATTTTAATAACGACAATGGTTATAGGTACCTATATTATAACTGTTTAAAGTTTAAACAAGAAAAATAATAACGGGATTAAATTGTTTAATATTATAAAAATATAACAAACCCACATATTAAAAAATTCATATATGAATCCGGTGAATGTATATTATATTTTGTATAGGTACAAATTGTCAACAGATAAAATATTTATAGTGATTACTTATTAGGTAGGTACCAACTTCCATTCTAATTGTTCCGTGTTAAATTACTGCGTTAAATCAACTGGAGGTGCATGAGTGGTTCAATATGTTATAATATTATTGTCATTGACACTAATTATACACTAATAAACAATTTAATGATCCACTTAATGAACCATCAACTAAACACACACACACACACACGATCCGTAAGGGGAGGGGAGGAGGTATTAGCTAGGTAATACACTTCTGCAGGGTTATCGATACTAATATACTATAAGAATAATTCTTTCAGTTTTTACATCTGATTTGAGAAATATACTAAATCAAACGATGTTAAAAAAATCCAATAGAGTTTGCACTTTTGTACCAAAACAAATTGAAATAAAACAATTTATTTTACATTTCACACAAACAATATTATTGAAGTAGAAAGTAAATTATACCATTATAATAATATATATGGGTTAATTTGAGATCATAGCTATAATTACCTAGGTACTTGATTAAAAATTAATAACTACATATTATTTTAATATGAATCAATTTTGTTAACTATAATTGAGTATTAGATTCCATTGAGTTTATGTAGGTTATGTAGGTACTTGTAGTATATGAATTGTACAATATATACTCAATGGCGTATTATTACTAATACAATTGTCCGAGTTTATCTAAATTAAACATTTTGGTATATTTTAATATTAATTATTAATTGAGTAAAATATATATGCCATATTTAACCAAGGATGTATTAATTAATTGTAAGACTCACAATATTCACATGACAATGATTAGTGGTTATTAAAATGTAAATGTAAGTTTTAATTTTAATTTTAGATTCTGAGCAATAATTGTATTGATTTTACAAGGATGAGTGTTTTTTTGTATCTATGTCTATAATATTAAATGTGTACCTACACGTTTTATAAGTAGTAGTAAAAATGGTTTGATCTTCACTTTGAGGGTGGTTTCTGATAGAAAATTGGATCTATGGTAGTTGATACTAATAGAAGGTCAGAATTGGCTATCTCCAGTAGGTATAGGTAGGTTGTAGGTACTATTCAAAATATTTTTGTTGTAATTCAAAATATACCTTAGAATTTAGATACTTAAAATTTTCATTAAATATTTATATTATCTAGTTTTTGTTATTCATGGTATTATTTAAAAGATATTTTGAATAATTTGTTGAGTTATTTTTATTGACATTTGAACTAATAATAGAATAATGTTTAAATATAGCCAATAGGTAATGTTGATCATATGAGCAATTTGGGTTAAATTTATGGGGATGCTAGATTTATGACGACTAAAGTGATCATTGATACACCTTAATTTTATACACCTTCGCAATTCGCATTAATCTTAATATGAACAATTATCTAACATAATGCATTATGATCTATATTATTGTTGTGATATTATTATTATTATGAAAATAATAAGGTCTTAGGAATAATTGTATCCAAATACCTATGGCATAATATTATAGTCAATAAATATTCGATGATGTTATCAAAAATTTGGGGGTTCTAAGCACCCCAAGCACCCCGTAAATTGTGCCTATGAATTGTTGATATAATTTGTTCACATTGTAAAAAACTTGAAAATTCAATACTGCAAGGTTCCTTGTAAGTTGTTATTGCGATAATTAAAAAAAAAAGTTAAGCGTAATCCCACAAATATTTTTTATGAGCGGCTGAATATTTTAAATGTTGACTAAGTTGAATGCAAAAAAAATATTTCTCACAAAACACGATTTTAGCTTTTTTTGATGTAAATTCAAAAAGAATTGATCGTAGAAACTTGGAACAATCCATTGTTTTTTAAATTATCATTTTCTAAACTAAATGAAATTTTAAAAATACTTAGATTTTAGACTCAATTTATGCTATACAAATATGATATAGAGGTATTTAAGTATTTAAATTTCATAAATCAGTTTTTTTTAGTGTAACTCCAAAACGAATAACTGTATTCATAGAAACTTAACATTTTCACCATATGCCCTTTTTTCATAAATGATAAAATGTTCAAAATATTTTGACTCTTTTTGAGATATTTATACTTTATACCTAGGCATGATTAATTTAAGAATTTTTTTAGTTTTTTTTCAATTATTGCCGATAAATAAATTTTTGCTTGGCCTAAAAATTTAAAAATGTATTTCAAGGTTCCTCATAAGTTGTATTATTATTTATTAGTGTAATTAAAAAAAGAAATTGATCATAAATTCACAATAATTTTTATGAGCGTCTGCAGAAGTTGGAATTTTAACAAGACTTCGAAATCACGAAAAGTTCTAAATTTGAAATTTGAAATTTTATTACGAGATTCTTTATGAGTTTTTGTACCTTTAACATAAAAAAGTTCACATTAATTTTTTATGAGCGTTTGAAGTTCACATTTTTACGACATCAATAAATTAACGATTTCTCATCGATCGATTTTCTTATTCAGTTGTAATTCAAAAAATAATAACAGTAGATACTTCACTAAATTTTTATATTATCATTTTCTATACATGATAAGATTCGTAAAATATTTTGGTTAAGATTGAGCTAATTTTAGAATATTGATATTTTTTTTAGTTTTTTTCTAGAAATATCGATAAAGAATTTTTAATTCGATCAAAAAGCTTTAACATTCAATACAAGGTTCCTCATAAGTTGTAATGTTAGCAGTTCAAGTATATTAATGATACATA